AACTTGAGTGCAAAAGAAGTGGAAAAAGAAGTGAAAAAGAAAAGAAGAAGACGCGCTTACGACGACTTTTAGACACCCATCGTCTTTATATATAAAACTTGTAGAGATTCTTGATGTACGGTAGACAAACGCACCCCGTTTTCCAAATTATGGATAAATGAGGCAATGAGTTTTCTTTAAATCAATTTTTTTTTACACGATTTATTCATTAAAAGAATTTCAAAAAAAAGAAAAAATGGGGAAAAGACAAAAAAAGGGATAACATCCACATTTACGACCGCTGAGCGTTAGCGGTTGATTCTTTCTGTAAGTGAAACGGTTTCGCACACTCCGGACATACCGTGAGTTTTAGCAGAGACATTTTAATGTCTGTTGTGGATTGAAAGGAATCGATGAGTTGCCAGTAAATACATTTTAAAATTGAAAAGCGATTCTCTTCTAAAATATTCGATGGACTTTCGTGAGAGTAGTGTGCTTTTCATACGATCCGACTTACCTGCACTCTACATGTCGCAGCACTGTTTTCTCAATAACACCATATCGTGTACTAAGAGTTGTGGATGTTTTATATATCTCAAATATCGAAGGCTATCCAACTTGGGAGGCGCTAAGCCAAGCTTTGAAACTCCAATTCTTTGATTTGGATTTGTTCTACTGTTTATCTCTACATTTGCCTCTAAACAGTATAATTATTTCAAAAATTATTTGAGATTCTGTCGGTATCGAGGTACTTGTAAAGGTTTCCGATCATGTGTGACTAAGGGCTAAGGGAACTTGTCTCATTCTTTTCAGCAATAGCTTGGAGGAGTTGAAACGATCCATTTTTAGAAAGTCAGAAACTCGTGAAAGAGGCGAGAAGAAGATGCGAGATATATAAACGAGTGGAGATATTCTTAAAATCTACTTCTTTGACGTCTTTCTTGGAGCTCTTTAGCTCTGAAGAGAGACGAGTTTCAAGCTAGCTTGTAACGTAGTTTTCACTTGTTGGTTGATAGTTCTCATTATCGAATCACTTTTAACGATTCGTCTGAGTGGCCGAGTAGATAAGAGTCTCGACTAGCAACTCCAATGGTCGTGGCTTTAAATCTCAATTGCGGTAGAGTTTTTAATAAAGCCGAAACTCTTGGATGCTAGTGCTTTAAGACTTTTGTCTTTATTTATTCTCTGGCTAATTTCATAATAATAATAATACTTTTAACGAGTAGTGAGTCGATAACATATGAATTTTTCACGATTTAAAATTATATATTTGTACCATCGATTCAAACAACTATCGTTAGTGTGTGTTTGGTAACGTGAGCTAACTTGATAACGAGAACCGTAAACCTATTGAACCCATTTTGCCTCGAGCTCAGTAAATCATTTGTTGTTGGTTTGCTGACTCGCAAAAAAATACGAAGTAGTAAATGAATCGTGAACCGATGCGGTAGGTTTTATATTTTTGTCTCAAGTTGTGTTCTGTGACACAGAGAAATGGTAAAAAATTCCAGAGGATAGTGAGTAAACCAATTCAGAATCTCGTACTGGCCAGGAATGCTACCTGTAGTTTACGCAATGTTTAATGCATATTTTTTAAGTCTTGCCAATGGAGTAGTTGAAGTCTCATCAAATTCATCTGTGTCTATAGGCATCGACAGCAGCAAAGAGAGTCAAGGTATGACAAAATTGAAAATGAAGAATGGAAGAAAATCAGCAAACAAAGCCACATTCGGTCCGTGTAAGGCGCGACTCTTTCTTTGCGGGCCTCCAAACGGTAACTTAAGATAACATAGCTTTAGCCTATTTTGCAAATATTCAGTTCATAAGAAATGATATCGAGGGATTTTCTATTTGCCGAAATATAATGCAATTTATTTAATGCAGAATTCTTCGATGACCCATGTGTACTCCATGATAAACATTAAAGAATTTATCTTAAATTTTCTTTCCACTTTCTTACCAAGAGCTACGATTCGCAGTTGTCGGCAGAAGAAGAGTATTGACGAAGAAAATTCGTCATATAAAGAGAGACCTGTTGCTTGCTAATCAAGGTAACAGAACATTCCAGGAGATTGTGTGTGATTGTACTCGGCTTGTTGACTTTGCTACGTCGGGAATTGGCGATAGGAAACGTCCTACGGACCAAGGAATTGCCTATGCTTTGGGGAACTATTCCTCGTCCTAGTTGTTTTTTTCTTTTTAAACCATTAAACCATTGCTCATTTAATCATTAACAAATTTAACTTCTTCAAGCATACTAGTAGACTGGATCAAAAAATTGCTTTTCTAGGTGAAAGATGTCGTATTGTTTTCTTTTGATTTGTTTTAAAATATAACACATAAATTTTATCACATTTAAAGATTTGTATCGCATTTGTGTCATATCCGTGTGGGTCCGCTAATACCCGTCATGGCTGAGCCGGGACCCAGTAATACTTGCTTTTGTTCTTGTTTTTGGATTTCCTCCATTTGGGCCCGTTCCGTTTCGAATATGACTGGAGCAAAAAGTATTATCGACGTTGTGAAAAAAATCCACGAAGCACTGCATGAAAACCGGTAAATGCTCCTGACGCCTCTAGTCGTCAAGCATACCAATGCGCAGGTAAATTCGCGTAATGGCTCGGGAAACATTTCCGCTAAACCCCATAAACGTTCCGATATTGTTTCATCGGGTTCATCATCAAAATTTTCTTCTGCTTCTGCTTTACGAGTACGCGTGCTGCCATGTTTACCCCCTCCTCTCTCTCTGTCCGGATCTTGATAGTGTACAGTATTCTCTAAATACTCAACTTCGCTGTCAGTATTTGGCATTTCGACTTATGCTGCAAATTTGGACGCAAATATAACTCAAAAATTTGCACTCTTTTCAACGACAAGTTTCTTAATTTTTCTTCTAAACGCAAATATTTTTCATTTAAAAATATTTTCAAAGAAATTTTTTTCCTTTTTTCAATGACAATAATAAATAAATTTTCATTTAGTTTACTTTGGTAACAAAAAGATTTTTTTGTTTAAAACCGTAGAGAAAAAAGTGTAAGTGAAAGCAAGAGGAGGAAGAGGAGGTCGCGTAAGATATGCCGAGTTTGACAGACTTAACGGCTCTGAAGACTATTACGGTTGCTTTCATTATTTTGGTTATTATGCTAAACTCATATACTATCTCTGCGAGGACGAAGCTAGAGTTAAAGACTTGTCCACTCGAAGACTGGTAGTTTTATATGTAACGAAGAGAAGAGCAGTAATAAATGGTCCCTCATTTAAGTACATCAACTATTTGCCCGTCGCTCAGTGCTACCAACTTCACTATTCTCAATCAATCCATTCACACTTACGCTGATGTTAAGTCTTCAAAGATACTTACAATCGGAACAATGGTATAAAAATAATTTGCAAAAATAAAACATAAAAAGTACAGTAAGTAATGAATAATAAGAGGTCGGATGTATTATCTGAAATCCGATTTTAGACCAATTTCTACTCCTACGTCCGTGCCGAAGATTGAGGAACACTTTATTAAGGATCACATATTTCCATTAGGCATCTAGGATGCGTACTTACAAATCCCAGTGTCCATTTCGTCAGGGCTACATACAGTGTTTCATATCTGTTATTGTGTGTTCCTTATGCCCCTTGTAATCTTCTACCTTCTTACCTCTATAACAGATTGCAGTTTGTTGGTCTTAAGAGAGTTAAATCGAGTTAACTTTCTTCTGGTATTCCAGAAGGGCCAGTTCGGGGATCTATATTTGCATGTGGTGTACTTTTATGCACAGATGATCTCTTTTTATAGTTTTATGGGGAGAGGACTGTGTGGTTCTTACACGAGGAGTTAATGGCTCGCGTACTTTAATGGACCTCTGAAAATAGTCTCAATATAAGTCCAATCAAAATTAAGGCTGTTAGTGCGAATGCTGGTTTTCCTTTGTTTTCGGGACAATGCCTTAATAACGATGCTTTTGAATGTGTTTGCAGTCATAGTTGCTTGGATGTAATTATTGATAAAGCCATCTCGTTTGCTAGACATATTGACCTAATATGGTAGCCTGAGAATGATCAACGTTATCAATATGAATCTATCTTTGCAGATTAACCTGAAACTAGTTCATTTCCTTCTCATGCCACTGTGTTGGGGTGACGTCCACTTCTCCTGAATTCGCTATTAATAACATCAGGCAAAAAGATCATATCTCATCATATGTCCTCCAAGGATTAGATTAATTGTCGTAGTCTAGTTACTTTTCATAGTAGACCTAAAAACGATTTCCTCTTCCATTGCGAAATAAATTTAAATTTTTTCATTTCACGCGTAATCCTCGAATCGATATTTCCAGGATTAATAGGTTAGTCTTTGAAAGATATTTTGTGGTAAGAGGGGCCCACTCTTGGAAAGGATGATCGTCTAAAAACCGCATCTTCATACAATCCAATAATGTCTTTCGCCCGAACTGCATTTTAACATTGTAATCATGATAATTGATATTTCTTCATATAATGCAATCACAGACACTGACTAGGGCCAATGCAATCACATACCCTGCTTACTATGTTTCCGTGCTTCATCTATTGCTTGTTTATAATTCTGACTGGGGAGCCACTTTCTATAGAGGATAACATTACGACTGTAGGATAGTGTCAAAATTGTATGACTATGTTCCAATCTTCCGAATAACCTGCGGTTGTATTATTTTATATTTGATGGTACGGCATAACGTTGCTTTAGCCCGATTACGAGGTTGTACTGTGAAAATTTCTTGATATAAATAAATAAGAATATCGTCTACATAAGGAGGCGCTCTGCCTCTCACACACGTATGCTTAAAGAGTCAAAGAAATAAATTTATCTTAAGAGAGTTCCTGTAAGGATCCGCAGACAATTTTGAATGAAAGGTGTTATGCTATTTTTATTGTGTTATACCATGAATTTCTAATTAGAGTGAATTGAAAGCAATTATTTGCTTAAATCCTTATACTTTTCAAATGATATTTAATTGTATGTATGCATATGCAATCCTGTAACTTCTTTCTTTTCCCTCTTTCCATCAGAAAAAAAAAAAATTTTTTAAATAAAAATTTGCAGGAATTAAAAAAAGCAACAAACCGTGAAAAAAAGCCCATTTAATATCTGCCTGCATTTACCTGCGTTGTGTGCATTCTGTCGGTCTGTCTGCTCAGGACAGCTGCATCTACGTACAAATAAATGCACAAATTGATTACACAAAGTGCATAAATTGGCTTTTATAACGCTTGATTTAACCATAAAGCTCACATGTATGCACATACAATCTCATTCACACTGCTCACGCAAAGCTAAAACTGAAGCGGGCAAGCAAACAAACTTATGAATCTCTTTGACCAATGAGGTGTGATAATAAACAATTAATTGCACGTGCATACCGGATTGTGTGTGTATAGGAAGCCAACGGCAGCATACCAGCATCTCGCCTTTGTCGATTATAGATTTGGGAGAAAGCAGCGGAACGAGCAAGACAGAGAGAAGGAAAACGTTTTGTTTCTTTTTTTTTTTTAGATTATATTTTCAAATAACCATAATTACGATTCGTTAAATCTATACAAAATGAAAAGACAGCCGATAACAAGCAGTCGTATAAGAGTTATTTCTTGAATGCCTAACCTATGCAAATCGGAATTATGCGCTTGGCAATCAGTTAATTGAGATGACTTACGGGTTTCCAAAAAACATCTGCAACTTATAAGATGTTAATCAAAGCAAATCGAGTTGGCTTAGTGCACGAATGTAGAGTTTTATTATCAGTTTACTTTCAGGTTCCATATCAAGCTATAGGAATAAGAAGGTTATATCATTGGATGCCCATACATAAAAATTGAGAAATATTTTCTTAATTGTGGACATTACCTAATTAGCTGTTTGTGAGGGCGTGCTTATGTGGGCGTGCTTTATACATTCTATAGACGTAGCCACCAGCTATGGATATATGTTTGAGGCGTCAAGAGTTACGTTTGCATCTCAACTTTTATAAGCGTAAGCGTTGCATGGACAAGAAGCCGGATAAACGAACGAAGAGACGGAGAGAAAAAAAGATGGATAGTTGGTCGGCCAGGCAAAAAGACGTAGACAGATCTGCTGATATATAGACAGCTGGATGAAGGAATAGGCAAATACTCCGATATATGTTCACATATAAAATTGTTCTATATAATAAATTTTGACGGACTTCTCATGGGTTTTTCTGCTTGGGACAAATGAAAAGAAAGTTTTAGTTGAAGATTAGTTTCACTATTCATTTCGATTGTGGAAGTTTTTTAACTAAACACTTCCATACACGACACCAACTATGGTGCAAGGATATATTAAGTTTTTGTGGACTTATGCAACACCCAGAAGACCTTGAGATTGATTCACCTCCTATTATGCTGAGCGATGCATTTTCTAAATCACTTTCTGAGTCAATCTAAGCTAGTCTGTCTGCCTGCCCGTCTGATGGCTGCCCATGTATTCTCGTGTTCAATCTACAGGTTGATCGATTCAGAAATCGATTCGGAACTTGTATGTCCGCCAGTCTGTCTTTCCGTCTCTCTTGTTTTCTCTTGTTCGACTTATAGCCCGCAATTTTTGAGGAATTTTAATAAAATTTGCTACACGGATTTGTGTGTGTAATGCGACTTCGGCCCTTTTTTCAATCACTTCTCAGATAAAGACTTATTTTGATAACTGGTTATATAAATCATTGAGGGTTGGTGTAGGATGCATAATGGCGAGCGCTGTTCGCTATAATGTTTTCACTTATTGAGTAATTATTTAAAAAGCAAAAAGAATTTAGATGTTACGCTAACAAAATGTGTGTTTATTACGTCAAAAAAATATTAGCTAAAATTTGCTATATATTAGTATAGTTGCATGAAAGTTTTCCTTTGTTGGGATTTTGGCATTTGTGACAGCAGATGGTTAAACGGGCGCACAAACAATTCTGCTATTTATTATGAGAAACATCTACACATATTAGCGTTTTCTGCAAGCAAAGACATAAAGTTACTGCACCTGCTGTGCTGTAAAACTGAATTGGATTGAAGAAGTAGATGAAAATGGTATATGTGCTGTGTTCAAAAAGTAAGGCCAGTTTAATTTTATCTTCTTGTAAACTTATTTACTTTTCCAAGTCTATTTCGTCGCCTTTAAAGGAATGCCCCTTTAAATACAATTATGCCAATGTTTTCTTCTATCTCGAAACAGTTTTTATAGTCGATTTCTGCAACGGCTTTCAAAGCTTGCTCCGATTCAATTTGTATCTTCGTAATCGAATTAAAATTTTATCCTCAGAGTGGTATTTTGAGCTTACGAAATACCCAGAAGTCATACGAGACTTAATCAGGTGAATACGCTACGATATGGGTTGAATTTTTAACGAAATGGTCCCAAAGACCAAATGCAGCGTTAAATGGCCCGCTATCGTTAGGCAAAACCAAGAGTTCTCTTTCCACAATTTCTCTCTCTTTTTGGGAATAGCTTCACACAAACGGCGCATACCATCAAATTATATTTCTTACGAACAGTTTTGTCGGGCGAAAGGAATTCTTAGTGCATAACACGACGGCAATCGAAGAAAACTATTAATGTAATCTTGATTTTTTAGCGACTTTTTTGGGGTTGTTCGATATTGGCTCACCTTTTACACAATATACGCTTGATTGATCGATTGGTTTTGGGGCGTGTGCATACACCCATATCTCATCGCCTGTAATAATGCGTTTAATGGCCGGTTGATAATCAGATGCCATCTTCTCACAGATTTTAAAGCGAGGCTGGTTTTCAAAGATTTTGAATATTTTTACTCTCAGGCCCAAGATATCTTTTAAAATATTGCTGACCAATTTGTTTCAAATGCCAACAACGTCAGCAAAATTCCTAACTGTTCTTGAGCATCGAACCATCGTTTGCTTGACTTAGTTTCCACTGATAGAGTCTGATGTTCGTCCAGTGATGGTTCTTCGTCTTCAACGTTTTCGTCTTCCTTTGAACTGTTTATGTCACATTCTAACCACTTCTTTACGACAAAATGTGCTCAAGAAGAGGTCTCTGTGACATCCTTAAAGCTTTTGCACAAGAAATTTGATTTCGCAGAAACAGCGCAACGCAACTTCTTTGCACAACAAATCTCACACATTGTAAAAATCGGAAAATTATTTTTGTACCCTACGAAAGCTACACCAGTGATGTTTATAAGGTGAAATTTGTCGCAGTTCTTTGTCACAGTGCTACCAATTTAGAAAAAAAAGTTTTCTGATACTCGATGTACCCGCGCAATTTGCCTATTGGGTTTACCTTTTGAACACAGTCTTTGGTAAAGGTTTTACGGTGCAGTGTTTTCTATTTATTGAAGGCCGGTTAATTATTAATTATCTTAGCAAAGATGCGAATAGTGTGAACCTGCCTTACCTTCTAACAAAGGCGAATATATTGGCTGTACACGGTTGCTTAATTTCACGGCAGTAGTAAATTATGTGTTCTTATATGAATATCCAAAAATTTTTGCACCGATTTTGACATTATCGCGTGAAATAGAGAATTCCTAAAAAAGAATTGAGAATTCCATTACTCTATGTTAATAGGATAGAAATAAGTTAAAACGATACAGTAGGTAAAGTGCAAAAATTATGATCTTCGAGTCAGACGCACAAATGATCGCCACAAAAGACGGACGGACCGCGGTGCTTAAATCGATTTGGGACACGATTGCTAATCGATTGTTGTAATAAAAGTCCTTAGTCCATCTGGATATCTGCACTACCCAGCAAACTAAATACTGTTAACTGCTAAACCATTAGGTGTGTGAATAAGATTTCGTCCTTGTTTTAAAGGATTATGTCAGTAGTGCTGAATAAAACAATGATTATTTGATTTGATGCAATTTCTTTAAAATGTATGCAACTGTACAAATTAGTGCACTGAACATGTCTACACGCATAAACATAAAAACATAGGTAGTTGGTGCTTGGAATAGGTGCCATTTGCGGGAAATTTTACTTCTCTTGCTTAGTGCTGCTACATTCTCGCGGGTGATGAACAATGGATCTCTTACGATGTCTGAATCCAAGCAACCACGAAGGAGACTAAGCATGCCGTTAACGTCGACGATAAAATTGAATGTACACGACGGCCATATTTGAGGGGATCAGCTCGACGTGGCGTATAATGGCGAATGAAACCATCTCTAGGAAAAGCGCTATAAACAAGAAATCAATTCAATTGGAAGGAGTAAAACGTTTCATGGGAAACGTAGCTTCTAAAGGTTAACATTGTCTCTTGGTTTCGCGAATAAAGTTTCATCATATGAAAATAGCTACATACACGTATATTTTCTTGATCGGCATGAAAGCACACTTCATAAAATTATTTTTAAGTTTTGCGGTCTACGATTACCTAACTTATAGGTAAAGGCGCAAAATAATTAACTATCTCTATAGCACTCTGATACATATCCTGATGAGATCTATATTGTTCAATATACGTCCTATGTCGTAGTTTATCACGTGATACTGTATCATAGGTATTTCTAATCATAATTTTTTACAATATAACGTCGTCGATAGATAAGTAAATAATTGATATGTGGCCTTCAATGAGATATGGACCCGTCCATGTATTTAGTTCATTTTCCCATTTCACCTTAAACTATTTTTAGGCTTATAGTTAAAGAAAAAGCAGCATCTTATCGATTAAGAACCAATTTAATTCATAGAAAAAAAAATTGAAGAGAAAGTTTCTCTCCAAGACAACATTAGATCGTAATCGTACGTATAATTGAATAATAGAAGCACAGGAATAGATGGACAAACGCGCACACAGAAAAATATGACAAAGTGAAGCAAGGGCAGAGCGTTTGTCGCAAAATCGTTCAGAAAGAAAGGCGTGCAAAAAGCCGCAAAAGAATTAGGCAAACGGTTTGGCCAGATGGTCAGACAGACGGAAGGTAAGAAGTCGTGCAGAGAGGAACTCAGAAAGAGATAGAGGTCATTTAAACAGTTAGGCACACAACGGGCAATTAGGTTGAGAGCCACATGTTTATGCCGGCTAAAAGTTTATATATAATATTTAAAAAATATTATTGAATTTTTCAAAAAATGTTTACGGGGTTGTGTTCAATGTAAAGAGGCAGGCACAGTTCAAATTGGCTTTCAGGTGTCAATGATTTTAATGACTGACCTCTAGCGTTGTTTTAAATACCTGTCAAATTGTATCATATGAAAGCGCTTGTGCTTGCCTGCACATATTTACGTTGCGTACGTCTCGTTTAGGTCTATTCTTTCTTTCGCTCTCTGTCTCTATCACTCTCGCTGTCTTACGCTGTTTTATTCTCTCATAAGAAGCATTTATCGAAAAATATTAATATTTGCTTGGATTTCTTTGCTACTTTTTTATATTGCATTGCGAATTGTCAAAGCAATCATTGATTCGATAAATAAATGAAAATTTGGCAACGTTTTCATAAGTATTTTATAGTTAAAAACTCAAACAGGTATGAAATTCAACGGGAATATATGTCAGAACGATGCAAAAAATGTCTGCAAGAAATACTTTCGACGAGCCGTTTAACACTATTTGCACACAATTAGCAAAGTATATAGATATACGAAAGCAAGCCAAACATAGTTAGCCACCACGGTGACTGATAATTTACAAGAGCAAGAGAAAAAAAGTCATTGTTAATCAATCTGCTTTAGAGCTAACAATAAAATTTGACTATATATAGGCATGTGGTTGCTGATCAATTAATTCCGTCTAAACTGCTATCAAAATGATTTTTATGAGAACTTTTTTGGAAACTTTCATCTTTTCCCAAGCAATTCCTTAAAGTAATAAAGGCAGTTAGACTTGACTGCTCATCAAGAAAATATATTTCCTATCAAGATTTTGAAGTATACTTTTAGTTGTTGCATGAAATAAGAGAGTCCTGTATACATTTAGGTGACAAGTGTCTTACATACGTTCACTTTCAGGCTAAGAAAACTTGAAAAAAAAATGATGAAGAGATGAGACCCATTAAGCTGCGGGAAACTCCTTATGTCTTTCTCTTTTGCCGGTTCTTTCCGACTGTCATTGTTTTATATTTATAAAGGACATCCCCTCAATGATTAGTTGGATTGGATTGGATATAGGATTCGATATATATAAAAGTGTAGACTTTTTTTTTTGGTTATGTGAGGTAGTAGGGATAACAGATCAGCATTTCATGTGAAACTGGGAAAATTATGGAGACCTTTTTCGACAACGCAAGTTTTGTTGGTACCTTAAAGTAAGTATCTTTTTAAACTGTTTTACATCATTACAACTTTCCTCGCTATTTCTATTTCTGGGGTTGTCAGTATTATGAATAAGTTCAGAATAGTGGCGATAACGCTATTCGCTTTTGTAAAGTGAGTTTCTAATAATTTTGCTCCGGAGTTTCCCATGGATTGTTACAGGGCAGTGATAGTATTTTATTTCAATCGCTTTGTTATTATATGAGATTTTTCGATTCTGCCTAAAGAAAAAGATGTTATAAGCGCTTTCAAAAAGTGAACCTAAAACAAACGGCTTGAAAGTGTAATTATGGGGTTGGTTGGGCAAGTATTGTTTCAAAACATCTGCTGCTACCTTAGTTGAATACATTCGCTCACCTAAAGAGAGCCTCTGATAAAATGGTTCCATACTTACAAAGAATTTATTCGAGCGTTCCACAGCAGGTCTTAAATTATGAAGACGATCATGGTTTGGATGCGCAACGGGTTTGTCCCGGGAAACGAATTGCGGAGCTTATTTTCTCAAATTGATTTATCCTCATCATCTATTATATATAAGCGAAGCGTTACTTACCACAGTGGGATCTAGCATTTGTGTAGTAGATTTTAGTAGTATTTACAGTTAGATACATTTTTTGCGTGATATACAGGATGATTGAAACGGGAATGCAAGTGCGGCCAATCGGAGGGAAATATCTGTATTTCCTGTGCAAAGCGTTCTTCACTGTATTCCAATTTGCGCTTTCTTCATACACGCTCCCCATTTCGTTACTTCCAAACTGCACCATCAGAAATTGCTAAGGGAGGGCCTTTATTGTCTTATTCTTCATCATAGTCATTATTGATTTCGTTAAGGTCATCCAAAGCCTATTCACCATCTATATCTTGTAGTCGTATATATCCTAAAAACAAGGGAAAATAAGCCAAAAGACAAAGACACCAAGCGCATGGCAAATGCATAATATAGACATTTGGATACGTACCGTATTTCCCAGAAATCTGCCATATATCAATAAAATTTTCAAATGCTACATGCAACATTAATACATTGACACATGACAACAGATGAGAAGTAATTTTGTTGCAATTACATAAATCAGTCCTTCGTAGTAAAGTCGAAAATAGAAAATATCTCTCCACGTAACGCACTGAACTTTCTATCACGCGCACATTTCATAATTTGCGTTCGGAAATGCGCACACTAAGGTTTTGGATAAAATTAAGTGCACCTGACATATAGACAATTGGTAACAGCAATCGTTTAAAGGTTAACCTTAACCTAAATACTATTTACCTCTTCTCTTACAAAAAGAGTTACGCTGCCTTTCGTCTAGCCTTAGATGACTCGAGTAAATTTGTATCTCCATGAAATAAATATAATAAATGAAAATTTTGTTTCTTTTACCCAAATATATTCTTAAGGTTTTCGTTTGTTTTTGTTTTTACAGTTTTTGACAGACCCTCAACAGTTCTGGGCAACTAGCGACAGATCTCTTCATAATGGCCACGGATGCAAAGGTGTGGCTGTAAATTGCAAAAACGCGACTTCAGAAAAACGATTAAATGGATTAAGTTAGTTAAAATATTTTAGTTGTTATTAGTATTTTTTTTTTTTTTTTTTTTTTTTTTTTTTTACTATAAAGAAATGAAAACTGTGTTCAGATTTTTATTATTAGAATGATACAATCGATACATTTTAACAAGCATATTATTATATTATTTATTTATTGTATTTATAATATATATATTAAACGAACTACTACCATGTCGCTTACTCGTACATAACTTCCATTCATTTACTAATGGAAGTTTTAAGCTAAAATTGTCTCAAATATACTTTTATATATATGAAAATCAGTGTAAGTATTCAATTCTTATTGTCATAAAATTTATTTAACGCAGGAAAAATAATTTTTGCCCTTTTTAGAATCGGGTGAGTATATTTCTCCGATGTATCTCACTTCCCTCGTGCAGAAAGCCCGCAAATGGAAGAAGCTATTTAAAGGAAAAATATCCTGATTTTTTTATATTAACGGGCATGAATTCAGGGTAGCATGATTTTGACTGCGTGCTAGACCGCCAATTTCATTTCTTTCTTTAGGTGAAAGTCTGAATGAAATCAAAGTTTTCGCTACCGAGTAGTTTTTACAAGTTTACAACTATGAAACTGGAAAATTTGTTTTTGTTTTTACTTAATGAACACGATTAAGAAATGTTTTTCGCTGCCCGTCGTTAGTTATAGATTTTTCCCTGTCTGATAATTTCTGGATACCACGATGTAATCGGAAGCACTCGAGCTTAACGAGTAAGCCTAGGACTAGATCTCCCAGTTGGGTGTTCCAAACATGTCCCGAAGTCGGTGGATACACGGATGTCATGCTAAAAATGAGTTTGTGTCGCCTTTCTTGATATTTCGCTCGGCTTTTGGGCAAGCGAACGATTCAAATCGATTAATTCTTATGCGTAACGCTTAATATTAACCGTTTCATTACAGTTTAGCAATCAATAATAGGCTACATTTCACCGATCACGCTAAACATAACATGGAGTGTGCCTAGCTAAGCGATTCACGTTCGCAGTCGATGTGGATTGTATGACTGGATCTATCACTATATTTTTACACTTGTGTTTCTCATAGTAGATCCACTATTCGTCCCCAGTTAGAATGCGAAGCAAAAAGAACTTTCCTTCGTACCGTTCGCGCAAAGAAAATGTCCGATCGGCGCGATTTTGACACAAGCCTGGCATCTTCGATCTTGGAAAAAGTACTTTTGGTGTGCGATATATATTGTTGTTGTGACTGCTTGTCGCTGTACAGATATCCAACCTATTAAAAAAAACACTACTTCAGATATTTATATCCTCCATACAAGGTGGCAGGGCCATCTTTTTGAGCAAATTCCGGTTGCATCTTTATATAAGTGTTAAGTAGGAGAAAAAACTTAGGAAAATTGTTGTGTACACCCAGGCCTGTACACTCTGTAGACACGGTCCCTGCCCTGTTTCAAGTGGCTAAACTTGAAAGCGACTACTCGGATTTAGGTCGAACCCCCTTATAAACTGTAGGACAAAGGTTGTGGGCTTTTAAGACACGCCGTTCCGATCTAAAGCTAGAAAGAGGTAAAGTTCTATCTATTCAAAGCACCAAGGCAATAGGTTGCGCACGCTTCAGTATGACAACGTATGCGGCATAAAGATGGTACTCGTAAAAGAGAGAGTCATAGCTTTGTTCAGCATTCCGCAGCACCATTTGTTTACACTCGCTCTTAGAAGACAGGGGTAATTAACTTATATATTATTTCGAAACTTTTTTGAGTGACTATTAACTTTACTTATTGTTTACTTTTGTTTCTTTGCTAAAATAGGAGCGACATCAACCAAAGTGGTTCTTGTCGCTGGTAAAATATGTTTCATCGCGCAACGAAAGGAAAAATAAAATGACTAATTAACTATGAAAATCAAGTTAAATTGTAAATACGGAACGTATAAAATCACGCATAAAATTATCTACCTCTCCTATTATGTGCACAAACAAAAGTATTCTCTTGGTGTTACTGTGTTAGTAGGCTGCCTTTAATTGTCATTGTTAGTGAGCAAAAATTTGATGAGAACAAACTCGCTAACGCCGTATTATTAATATATCTTAGAGGTTCGATATTGTATTAGAAAAAAGGTTAAGAACTTTTTCCTTGACCAGCTGTGTAAAATTCCTTTGATATATCGATCTCTGGCACAAGCATTTCTTTGGCAGACAAAGAATCGAATCGGATTTATTGTATGTGTGAGTTTAGCTCCTTGCCTATTGAAAATATAAGGCTACAAAAGTTAAGTTTCTTACGGGCTATCTTCACATTGGTAAAAAAAAAACAAAAAAATAAATAAATAAAAAAATTTGTAGTAAACTTAGCGATCCCAAATATACGGCATCTGCAATTCATACTGAAATCCATCCTCTTTAAACATTTGGTTACTCGCATAGTTAAGCTGTGTAGGGATATATAATAAATGTGTTGTATGCATACATGCATTCACGTGCGCCCTTATGCATATATTTATATGAATAGTCTCCATGTAGATATAATAATAACAAAAATACATGCTCTACATACATAAGCATTTGAGATGAACATGTGTATGTGTGTAAGTGAATCAACGAAAACTCACAAATGTGAGGGTATTGCGCTCGAAGACATTGCTTTGTTTACCTCCGGGAATGTATGGCTACGACATTTGCTTGCATGGCAGTACTAACTTCTGCATTAAGAGTTCATTTCGGTTTCCTTTATTTCTGATGTAACGAATATTTGTTCGTTCGTAACCGTACGTATATATATATATATATATATATATATATATAAATGTAAGCATGTGTACCCACCTACTTACCCACCTACCTACTTACCTTACTACATATCTACATACTTGCCTGCCTGCCTGCCTGCCTACCTACCTATCTACCTACGTATCTACCTATCTACTTACCAACCTACCTATAAATCGACATGATGCACACTGTAATGAAACATTTTTCTTGGCATACATAATGCATTGTTTTCAAGTCGTCAAAATGGTTTTTGTTCAGTGTATCCATCTATTTTTGCCTCATTGTAGTTTCCGTTGTCGTCGTCATCATCATCCGCATCGTCATCAACGACTGCACTGTGTCCTTAAGCTTGAGGCGATGTTTTCCAATTTGTGGTTGCTTCAAGTCTTGTGAGGCTTTGCTGCAGCTCTTCTGTGTATTTTCAAGGATTGCATAGAGGAAGTCTGATTTTTATTTTTCTCTTTTTTTCTTTTTTTTTCTTCTTTTCTTTTTTTTTTTTTCATAGACGATAAAAAGGTCGTTTCTTGTACAAATTTCTCTGATCCACATAATGTAACGTCGCAGTCAGGTGGTGCATACATATATTCTTTACCGCAATGTACACCGAAAATCTACATTTACTATATCTTAGTTGGCTGTAAATTAGAGAAGAAGAACAGAGAGTGTAATGTATAAGTAAAATTATTGACCCGAGTCGGAAATTGCGGGAATCATTCAAAAGAATCGAGCCTAGATATTTTTGTCTCTAGACATTATTTTGTTTCATTTTAAAAAAATATTTTGAAAAATCCTGAAAGCAGGATAATGGCGATTATAATAATAGGCCTACTTGTGAAGATATGTTATGTACACGATGTCTTTTCAATATGACTGGCACTTAGTCTGCTGTCTACTGTATCTGGGCATTGTATGTACATTATCATCCAACCACAATCGTGCCTTTAGGTTAAAAGAACGCATGAAATTGTTATTGTTATTGCTATTGTTGTTAGTTTTATGTTGACGGCACTCTTTTACCTCTGTAAAGCTCCATGTCTTTTTGAATTCACACATATACCATCAAACACATGTATATACATACACACATATATACATACATACATACATACATACATACATACATACAATTAACTTGTTCCCTTTCCCCTGCCAGTAGCTCTGCTAAAGCGAGCTGTGTTGTTTAAATCTCTGCCTGAATGTTTCGTTGCAGCTTAAGGATATCTTCCGCAGTAATTTTAATATTTTATCCTAAAAATATCCGTAAGCATTAGACGGATGATTGATTCCCAGCTAGAAACTCATGCACTCGCGTATGAATGGAGACAAACAGAAAATGAATCTCACCCGAGGGCTACTCAGTTAGTTGCTGATTACGATTATGAATGATGTGTAAAAGCTTGTCTGTAGACTTTAGTTCCATATTTATATATATATATATATATATACATATATATACGCATACGTGTGTCTAAAAACATATACTTATGTGCACAATATGTGCACTCATCGAGAGCGAAGCAGGGACAATAACAGATAATTTATAGAATATTTATGTTTGCATCCATATGGAGAATTTTATTATTATCATTTATGAGTTGCCCTCCTTTTACGTTATAGCCTACCCATAGCTTGCATACTATCGCCTCTATCCTCTAACAAAACGGACGTATATTAATTTGGTCGCGATCCGTTAAATTTATTTAATTGACGATAATGTATAATTATTTTTAATATAAATCATAAGAAATGGAAGAATTTGCATTCCGCTCTGAGTGCGTTTCAGTTTGCCCCAGTCGCTGAATTGATTAGTGTAAGCAGTACCTAGAAATATGTACCGAAAAGGGTACATTAGAAATACCAGATTATTCGACATGAGTACGATTTACGTTAATAGGAAGATTAAAAATATTGGTATAAGTACTATTTTTTCATGGTCTACAAAAATCTAATGGAAGTACCCATCGGGCCGCCTTAGGTGTGGTTTAACCTCCACAGCTGGCTAACTATATATATAAGTATATTTGACTGAGTGATTATGAGGTTTACCCAACCATTTTCGCAAATAGGCGATTCGAAAATAAGTTATCACCACAGGCGGATCCGCAAATAATTTACTCACTTTGTTTAATTCTAGTCGCGATAATTAAGAGCGCGAAGAAGAACGAAAAAAAAGTGCAAATACATAGACATTTTATAGGATTGGGGCTTTGATAGTAGAAAAAGAAGAGCACTTTCAGAGAAGGGCACTTTCATGCCCTTGAATATTGTATATAAAATTAGTTTTTTAACAGCCTGGTGCGATGGCTTGTATCCCCAATTATTAAAGATGAAACCTTAAGCCTTTGTCTAGCAGATATTTATCAAATATAAGATCAATTAAGGGGATTTGCTTTCAATTTGAAAAGAAGACAAAATAGTAAGAGATATCAATAGCCTCAATATCAAGAATCGCCGATTTATCAAAGGGGAGGGTTGCTCGTTAGCTCCTCTATGCGTTA